GAAAAAAAATCATAACACTTAATAAATTGAAAACAGGTATCCCAAAGTGTGAGCAACCTCGTCCAATCTCATTGTTAGCGACACATTCAAAACTATTCGAAAAAGTACTTTTACTAAGAATCAGGCATTGATCTGAAACTAATCGTTTGTTAGCCATCGAACAATCAGGTTTTCGTTCGAAATGTCTCTTACCGACTCGAGTACTTTCGATTTACCAGGAAGTGAAAAACAACATGGCTGCCAATATCCCGACACTAGCTATAGATGTTGATTATCAAAAGGCATATGACCGTGTTTGACACGCTGCCCTCGTATGCAAAGTGGATAGAGTGAGTATGCTGCTCAACTGACTAAAAATGACAGAAAGCTGGTTGAAACATAGAAAAGCTTACGTAGAATTCGGTGAAGAAGCGTCGAAATTATTTGATATAAATATAGGTCTAGCATAGGGTAGTAGTCTAAGTCCGTATCTATTCATTGCTTTTCATCCTGATCTTACAAACTATCTAGGTGCTCATTCAAGTCATCTATTTGCAGATGATCTCTGTGTATTAATTAGACCTCCCATAATGAAAAATTTAGCGCTGATGATAGAATATTTAAAAAAAGAAGGCATATGAATTTGTAATCAAATTTTTAGCTATTCAAAAAAATGGAAACAACCGATAAATCTCTCGAAAACGGTGGTGCAAGTATTTCATACACAAGCAGAAAGACCGACGGTAAATGTAACAACGGAAGAAAAATCATTGGAAGTAGTACAGGAATTCAAATATCTAGGTTTCATCTGGACGGACAAACTATCACTTCAGCCAACAGTTGAAAAATCTATAGGAAATATTCAGAGATCATTAGGAAAACTTAAATGACTAAAATCAGGACGTACTATGTAGTGTAAGGCTCTTCGTCAATGTTTCTTTACATTCACTTTTCCCCATTTCGCGTGGTTATTCCCCGTCTATCATCTTCTTCCAGAATCTCTAAAGGTTGAGCTACAACAAAAATTCCGTGCGGCACTGCGACTGGTACATAGCTACCCTTTTATTTCTGCTAATAATTTGTTCAATTTCACATCTGCATATCACTTCGAATTTTATGTTAAAAATTATATCCAAAGAAGATTAAAGACTATATCTACGACGGATCTCGGCTTCTCACCTTTCTATGAGAATGTTTTCTCTTGAAGTAGGTGTCTTTTACTGACGATAATTGATTCCATAAAAATAAAGAATGAAACGATAATTTGTTTCAATACCCCATGGTGTTCTTTTTTTTCCTGTTTATTTTGTTTCTGTTTCTTTTTCAATTGTTCTTTCTCTCTTGTTTCACTTTTCTTTCTTTTTGTTTTTCTTCTGCTGCTCGTTCTACTCATATATCTTAACTGCTGCTTATCAATCAATTTGTTCGGCTTTCACTTTCTCTTTTATTTTTATTTTACCCCTAAAAGCGTGATATACGATTGTCTGTGTATTAAGATTGGTGGTGTATATGCAATAACTCGCTCCTTGGTGCAGAGTTTAGCCTAAAAAATCATCTTTTAACATGTAAGCACTTCCAAGTGCAACATTCTCAAGCCTAATAGAAAAAAAAGTAAATTGATAATGATTGTCACGAGTTGAAAATGCAGTTTTAGGACAGTTCTCTTTAGATAGAGGTACATGGAAATAACCAGATTTAAAACAGAATTTTGTATAATACATTCTATCGGATAATTGATCAAAAATTTCATCGATTCGAGGAAGTGGAAATGCATCTTTAATCGAAATAGCATTTAAACGTCTATAATCAATACAAAATCGCATGGTTTTGTCTTTCTTCTTAACAAGAACAATAGGCGATGACCACACAGAAGTTGACTCTTCAATTTGACCACGTTCTAATAACTTTTGTGTTTCTTGAAATTTGACTTTCTTGATCTTTAGACGAAGCGAGGTATTCTTTCGAATAAATAGGTGGATGATCACCAGTTTTAATTGCTGATTACGAAGGAATATTAATAATCGATGGTGTAGGGTCAAATATTATTTTATTTCTCCACAATATATCTTGAATTGTTAATTGATGTTTTCGATTTTCTATGTTTAGTTGATTCGAGTATTTGTTTTCGAATCTGTTCGGAATAACATTCTGCTCGTAAATGTTTTTGTAAATCATTTCCAGATAAAAAATATTCATTGCAACGATGGCAAATGATATTTACTTTTTCTTGATTCCAGCTGTCTTTCGTGTTTAACACAGCTCTGTTGCTATTTTTTTTGTAATGTCGAGATGATGATTGATGATGTTCACTTAAAATAGAATTTTGCGTTGTTGAAATTTGTGTAGTTGCATATATAGTATATGTTGCAT